GAGGAGGGAGCAAGGAATGACCAGGCTTCCCTGGCCACGGACAGCCTCGGCAACGATCCGGCTCCCCGCAATTTGACGTGGAGCGCCCCGTCTATGCCAGGGCCCATCCTGAGCCCGAAGGTGGTCTGTACTTCGGCGCATTGGCTGCCTGAGTGTGCCATTGCTTTGTTCGACCGAGCGATGGTGGGAAGTGAGAAGGCGAAGGCCTTCTCAGTAGGCCTAGGAGCACGGCCTTCTTAGAAGTGTTCTAAGCCTCCCCCGAAGGCGCCAAACGCTTCTCAGAAGGCGCGATGGCCTCTGAGAATGTCGGCCGTCTTCTGGGAAGGCCTTCTCTTTCTCATTTCCCCCCCTCGCTCGCCGCCGAGTGTTCTTCTTCGGTGCATCCTCGCCATGCGAGCAGACTGCACCCCTGCCTGGCACCGTCCCCCGCATCGCGCACGATTCCCGCAGGAACCTGCGGCTGCTGCACTGCACCCGCGAACCAAAACGTGTTCCGAGTGCCCTCCGCCCTTGCCTGCGCCTCCTCCTGTGCGTGGCACACGCCTCCGCAGCCCGGTTGCCGCTTCTGCCGCGGTACGATCGCCCCACCGCCGCGGACCAAAGAAGTCTCCCTGCCCCTCCTGCTCATCCCTCCTTCGAGGGGCTGCGATACAGGGGGACTGGCTCAGGGGGGGAACACCGACCTGGAATCGGTGATGCATCGCCGATGGATCGGCGACAAGCCCCCGATAGCGAATTCGCACGCTCCTGGGCGGGGTGGGTCATCGGGGCCCTCTGTCGGCGATGAATGGGCCATCGGGGTCGGTGCACTCCCACTGGAGCCTGTCCCCTGGAAGCCGTCGGGTCATAACTCGAGGCTCCAGCGGCCGTTCGGAACAATTTGGGCACCCACGGCAAGCGCTCGACGAGGCGCAGCCCCTGGAGAGCGTCGCGAGGCTGGAACGCCGCCGAGAACCGACGGAAACGTCCGAAAACCTCAGACCTCGATTCTTCGTCTCACCCTGAGCCTACTCCCCCCTGACGTTGCCCCTGATCCTCGTCCTTGTCCTGCCCGTCCCTTAGCGGGCGAAGAACAGCACCACAGAAAGATTCCGTCACTGGGGGCGCGTATACCGTAAGTTTATACCTTGACGGGCCACCTTGTCCAGCCGCCCTGGGACAGGCGCCTCCCACAGCGCACAAGTGTATGGTATGCCGTCGTTCGCCCGTCAGCCCCCTCCTCGCTCTTCCTCGCCGTGCCCGCGAGCGGGCCTTCAGGCACATCTTGGTCACGAAGCGCCTGTCGGCCTCCTCCTCCAGCTTCAGGTTGTCCTGGATCCTGGCGGGCTGGGCGGCGCGCCGGGGGGGGACGCTGAGAGATGGCAGGCGTTCTCGGAAGGCGGCGGCGCTGTTCAGGAGCCCTCTAGCCCCAATAGCAAAACTCTCTTTCGGACGCCAGCAACGGGCACGGGACAGACATTGAGCAGGGACCGACCGTCCTGGCATTCCTATAGGCCTACCACGAAATGTCCTCAGACCCCAAGAGGGTTCGAAGCACAAAAACAATGTTCTTAGAACATAAACCCGAAGTGCTAAAACAATGTAGTTTAGCCAGAAATGTTCTAAGAACATGCCGTGGAAACCACACAAGGTTCTTAGAACGTTGTTTGGAAATCGCCACTGTTTGAAAAACGGGCACGATGCCCAGCAAGACATGTTGTCCGGAAACGACAGCGGCCGCTGTTGGGCCGGCGAACTTGCGTCTTCAACAGACAACGGCTGCGGCGGTGCGGTCAGCGAATCCTATTCAGACTGAACAGGACCTGCTGTTGGTCTTCGTACCCATTCTTTTCGCACCCACTTCGATCGTCCCGGTTTGTCTTCGGAGAAGGCCTGGACAAGTTCTCAAAAGGCCCGAGGCCTTCTGAGCCTTCCGAGAGGGCCGGCACCCCACCTGCCTTACCCCCCTGACGCACCGCCGATCCCTGGAAGAAAGAACAACTACATCAGAGTGAGGGGGCCGAACGGTCCATCACTGTTCCTGGGAAGGTGGCTGAAGCGGGGTTCCGCGGAACGAATTGTTGTTGCGTTGCTGCGTTGCTGCGTTGCTTTGTTGCGCTCTTGCTGTCGCCCTCGCCCGCGACCTGCCCGCGACCCACTCGCGACCCAACCCGCTACCCACCCCGCGACCCAACCCGCGACCCAGTCTACGAACCACCCGCGACCCACCAGCGACCCGCCCAAGTTGATTTGACGAAAAAAACGGCGCCTGCCACAGGATCGCTGTGACATGTAACAACCAAACCAAAGAACTGGTGCGGCGGGCTTCTTCAATGATTCGCAGCCTGCCGACGACAGCGCCGCCCCGTCATTATGTTTCGCAGTTGAGGAATGCTTTGTGAACATGAATTTCCTGGGGCCCGAGCGGGTTCAATTATGCCGCCGCTGGATTTCAAAGAGCCGATGCGACGTGCGCGCGGGTGCACGTGGCCAATCCGCGCGGGGCGGCCTCGTACGGTGGGCATCCGAGAGCACAGAATGCGACGCGCGCGAGGGTGCCCGTGCCTCCTTCCCTCCCGTCGGATCGACCAGGAGGGGACACCCTCCTGGGCCCTCGCGGGCCTCCTGAGGCCTCAGGATCGTTTTGAAGCCGCCTGATTCGAGCACCTTCCTGGAGTTTCATCTTCTCCTCCTCGTTCTCCTCCTCCTCGTTCTCCTCCTCCTCCTCCTCCTCCTCCTCCTCCTCCTCCTCCTCCTCCTCTACTGCTTCCTTTTCCTCCTCCTCTCCCTTCTTCTCCTCCTCCTCCTCTTCCTCATCCTCCTCCTCATCCTCCTCAAGCGCGCCCCCTTTCGACCACCCCAGCCAGGAGGAAGGCAGCGAAAACGCGCAACGGAACACTTGTTGCGAAAAAGTGGTGTTCCGCTGCGCCGAGGCGAAAGAGCGACAGCGCAGCTGGCTGGCAACCTCCACATCGCGGCCTCCAAATGCCTCGCGAGAAGGGGGGGGGCGGCTCGTGGAGCTTCGTGGGCTCTTGCGATGTGGTCTCCTGAAGTTTCCCGGGACATCGCGGGATGGCCTCCCGGAGCCTCTGGAGCCTCGCGGGGTGGCGTCCTGGAGCCGTCCAGGGCCTCGCATGATTAACGATGATGCTTTCTGGGTGCCCCTGGCGTTTCAAAGCCACTATTGTGTATGTGCGAGCGGTGGGCGCACGCGAATGTGCGCAACCATGCGCACCTGCATGTCTGCATGTACAGATGTGAAGTGAGCACCCGTCCTCAGTCGCTCGCCTACATCGTGCGATGTTATCGTGTGTGTGTGTGTGTCTGTGTGTGAGCATCGGTACGTGTGAGCACGCATGCTTGCATACACGAGCACGTGCACATGTAGACAGATCTGATCATGTGCGTATGTATGAAGGAGAATGTGGACATCGTATGGTTACGCGTTTAGAGACTGCATGTGTATGTATTCCAGGTATGTACGTATGTATACCCATAACTGCACGCACAATGGTGTGGGAATTATATGGTGCGTACACCGGTATGTACACAGTACAGGTGTATGCCTGGATATGGATATGTGCATGGGTATACATATACATATAGATCCGAGTGAGGGGGTCGAACGGTCATCCATTGCCCCTGGGTGCGTGGCTGAATAAGGAATTCGTGGTGAGACTTATGCTTGTTGCGTTGTTGTTGTCGTTGTTGTAAAGGTTGTTGTTGTTCTTGTTTGTTGTCGTCATCTAACCCGCGACCCACCCGCGACCTGACACGCGACCCACCCCGCGACCCAACCCGCGACACACCCGCGACCCAACCCACGATCCACCCGCGACCCACCCCCCGACCCACCCACGACCCACCCGCCACCCACCCGCGACCCACCCCGCGACCCACCCACGACCCACCCCGCGACCAACCCTCAAAGGAGGAAAAACCACCCGGACCCGACAATTGACTTTTACTAAAACGGCCCTGGCGTTGACTAAACGGTCCTGCCCTGTTCGATTCATTCCTTGTGTGCGTTGCTAAACGGCTTCGCTTGCCGGGGTCATCCTGATGTGGAAGAGTGCCCTCTACACCCGCGATCCACCCGCGACCCACCCGACCTACCCACATTGGTTTAACGAAAAAATGAATGAAACTTTGGCGCCTTCGGCGGGCTTCTCCAGAGTCTCGCAAGCTGCCGACGTCCCCACCGCCCCCTTACTCTTATCCGCATCAGCGGGGTGCTATGTATTCGTGTGTAAATGCATGGTTTGCTCACTGACTGAGATATCTGTAAGTGCATGCACACTCGTGCGCGGTACAAAACAACCGCCAAACATGATCCAAACGTTTGTGCAAATCGAATGCGCCTCTCGGACACGGCCCGAAACGGCCCCCCGACGGCCTAGGACGGCGGCATTATCAGTCGAAAAAGATCCTCTCCGTCGGGGGGGGGGACATTCTGTTCGGCGGCGCCTTTGCGCGGTCAGCGTTAAACCGTGGATATTTGGGGCGCCCAACTGTGTTGCCAGAGTGTCCCGCGACGGGGGGTCGTTCGGCCACGTGCGCTAGGGAACCCAGCTCCGCAAAATAAAGCACATGCGCGCGCCAAATCTGATAATTCTGTCGGGATTATCCTGGCCTCCGCACTCTCTCAAAACCCCGACTGGCTCGTCGGGGTGCGCGTCACCCCATTCGGGGGGATGGGGAGGGGAAGGGGGTCTTCACCACCAGATCTGGGGCTCCGAAGAACCCACGTGTTCTGCGGGGTGCCAGAATCAGGAAGCTTGGGTGGGCTCATCGTTACGCCGTCGTCCTCCTCCTCCTCCTCCTCCTCCTCCTCATCCTCATCCTCCTTCACTCCTCCCACATTCCCGCGTGCCCTCCCTCTCCTCCTGCCATATCTGTGTCCTTCTTCTCCCCCGCCTCATCGTCATCGTCATCAGCAGCAGCAGCAGTAGCAACTTCATCATCATCATCATCATCATCATCAGCATCATCATCATCATCATCATAATCAGCATCATCATCATCATCATCATCATCATCATCATCATCATCATCATCCTCATCCTCATCCTCATCATCATCCTCATCATCATCCTAATCAGCATCAGCATCAGCATCAGCATCATCATCATCATCATCATAATCATCATCATCATCATCATCATCATCGTCATCGTCATCATCATAACCACCGTCATAATCAGCATCATCATCAGTATCACATCACTATCATAATCATAACCATCATCATCAGCAGCATCATCATGATCATCATACTCATCATCATCAGCGTCAAAGTCGTCGTCATCACCACCTCCACGACCCCACCATCATCATCGTCAGCAGAAGCATCAGCGTCAGCATCACCAGCAGCATCATCACCAGCTTGAGCAGCAGCAGCACTCCTCCTCCTCCTCCTCCTCCGCGTCGTCGTCGTCGTCCAGCGAACCTTTGGCGTATGTGAGACGCGGTCGACGTGTTCGTCATCGTCGACGCCAGCTCCAAGGAAATTCAAAAATTAGCCTGGCGAAAGACCCAACCGCATGCAGTTGTGAGTACGGCAATTGTGAATATCTTCTTCGGTGGCGCTCCCTATCAGGCCACGAAGCGCTGTACTGGATGGGTGAAACGCAGGGAGCAAGGGCTGTGCTGGGTGGTGACGGACGCATGCGGGCGGTGCCACTGAGACCTTCCGTGGAGCTCCCTATGGGGCCACGTAAAGCTGTGCTGGGTGGGTGAAACGCAGGGAGCAAGGGCTGTGCTGGGTGGTGGCGGACGCATGCGGGCGGTGCCACTGGGACCTTCGGTGAATCCCATTTATGGGGCCATGAAGTGCTGTACTGGGTGGGTGAAACGCAAGGAGCAAGGGCTGTGCTGGGTGGTGGCGGACGCATGCGGGCGGTGCCACTGGGACCTTCGGTGGAGCTCCCTATGGGGCCACGAAACGCTGTAGTGGGTGGGTGAAACGAAGGGATCAGTGGCTGTACTGAGTGGTGGCGGACGCATGCGGGCGGTGCCACTGGGACCTTCGGTGGAGCTCCCTATGGGGCCACGAAAGGGGCCACGAAACGCTGTACTGGGTGGGTGTAACGCAGGGAACAAGGGCTGTGTTGGGTGGTGGCGGACGCATGCGGGCGGTGCCACTGGGACCTTCGGTGGAGCCCCCTTTGGGGCCACGAAACGCTGTACTGGATGGGTGAAACGCAGGGAGCAAGGGCTGTGCTGGGTGGTGGCGGACGCATGCGGGCGGTGCCTCTGGGACTGTCGGTGGAGCCCCTATGGGGCCACGAAAAGCTGTACTGGGTGGGTGAAACGCAGGGAGCAAGGGCTGTGCTAGGTGGTGGCGGACGCATGCGGGCGGTCCCACTGGGGGCTGCGGTGGAGCTCCCTATGGGGCCACGAAAAGCTGTGCTGGGTGGGTGAAACGCATGGAAGAGGGAGGAGGGAGGAGGAGGGGGAAGAGGATGAGAAGAGGAGAGGAACGCGGGGACCGTCTCTTCAAAACGAGGACCCAACACCACAGGATGGTTGGGAACAAAGAATGAACAGAAGCGCGGTAATTAAGTCGAATCCCAAACCGCTTTCCCTTCCCTGACGGGGGGGAGGGGTACCGGGAGGGGCACGGGTGGGGGACGGAGAGGGGTGTGCGGGGGGAAGGGCGGGTCAGATTACCGTCCCGGTCCCCAATGCGGACAGGGGAGGAGGGACAGGGTGGGTCCCTTCTGCCCCCCTCCTTCCGCCCTGGTCCCCCCTGTGGACAGCGGGGGACAGAAGGGCGGTCCACCCTGCCCGCCCCCTCCCTTGTTGCATCATAGGAGGACCTTGTCTGTCCCGTCGCGGCCCTATCCACGTCGAATCCGCGTCGAATCCATGTCGGCCTCGTCGGATCTGTGTCGAATCTGTGTCGAATCCGCGTCGAATCCACGCCAAATCTGCGTCGAGTCCGCATCGATCCCGCGTCGGGCACAAGAGAAGACACCAATTTTGAGGACGGGCGAGGTCCCCCGAAGAGGCAACGTGAACTCCCCTCCCCGGTCGCCCTTGTGGACAAGAGGGGGGGGGGGGGTCCCCCTGCCCCGCCCCCCTCCCCTTCCTGGTACCCCCTGTGGAGCGGGGGGGGTCCCCCGTGCCCCTTCCCCCCTCCCTCACCTCCCCAGCCCCTCCTGTGAACAGGAGGGACAGGGCGGAATCCCTTCTTGTGAACACAAGGAACTCCAGACCCCTCCCCCTCCCTCCCGCTCTCCCCCAATCCCCCTGTACACGCGGAGGGCAGGGGGTGCTCCCCCTGTGCGCAGGGGTCACTGAAGACCTCCTCCCCCCCTCCTTTGGAAACAAGGGCCACCAGACCCCCCCCTCCAAGGGGGTCGCCAGCGGGGTTCCCCAAGAAAGTCTCGCCTTCAGGGTCGTCGGCATCATTGTCATCGTCATTATCATGATCACTATCCATTTTCATCACCATCGCTATCACCATCAGCATCAGCATCAACACCATCAACGTCATCATCATTATCATCATAATCCTCCTCCTCAACCTCCTCCTCCTCTTCCCCCTCCGCCTCATCATCTCATCATAATCATCATAATTTCATCACCATAGTAATAATCAGCAGCAGCAGCAGCATCATCATCATCATCAGCATCAGCATCCTCATCATCATCATCATCAGCATCATCATCATCAGCATCAGCATCATCATCATCTTCATCATCATCCTCATCCTCATCCTCATCCTCATCCGCATCCTCCTCATCATCATCATCATGACCATCACCATCAATATCGTCATCGTCATCATCCTCATCATCATCCTCATCCTTGTCATCGTCATCATCACCATCAGCATCATCATCACCAGCATCATCATCAGCATCATCATCGGTATCATCATCATCATCATCATCATCATCATTATCATCATCATCATCATCAGCAACACCCGAAGCCATCGTCATCATCAACATCCTCCTAATCATCAGCAGCATCAACATCATCAACCTCGCCATCAGTATCGTCATCATCACCCTCATCAGCATCATCATCATCAGCATCATCAGCATCATCAGTATAATCACCAACATACTCATCACCATCATCAGCCTCATTCTCGTCATTATCACCAGCACCATCATCAGCATCATCAGCATCATCATTAGCAGCATCAGCATCAGCAGCATCGTCATCAGTATGAGCATCGTCGTCAGCATCACCCTTCTCATCCTCATAAACATCATGATCATCACAGTCGTCATCATCATCATCAGCAGCAACACCTGAAGCAACCATCATCACCAACATAGTATCCTCCTCATCAGCAGCATCAGCATCATCATCAACATCAGCATCAGCAACGCCACCATCATCGCCATCCTCAACAGCAGCATCATCATCACCAGCATCAGCATTACCATCATCACCATCATCGCCATCATCACCATCAACCTAATCGGACCGATCCGCATCACCACCGTCATCATCACTAGCATGATCATCATCATCAGCAGCATCATCGGCAGCATCGTCATTAACATCAGCATCATCGTCATCATCTTCAGCAGCAGCAGCCATCGTCATCAGCATCGTCCTCATCAGTATCATCAAAAGTACCAGAATCAGCATCATAGGCATAAGCAATGCTATCGTCATCATCATAAGCAAAATCTGCATCATCAGCTGCATCATCATCATCATCATCATCATCATCATCATCATCATCATCATCATCATCATCATCATCATCATCATCAGCCTGATCAACCTCATCCTCATCACCATGAGCATCATAATCATCATCAGCATCATCATCATCATGAACATCAACATCATCATCATCATCAACATCATCATCATCACCATCATCACCATTATAATGATGTTGCTACGCCTCCCAATTCCGTGAATCCAGCGGTCTGCGCCTTACCATCCTCATCATCGTCCTCCTCCTCGCCCTTCCTCCTCCTCGTCCTCCTCTTCCCCCTTCTCCTCCTCCTCCTCCTCCTCCTCATTCTACTTCACATCCCTCGCACACACCCCAACATCCTGATCCTCCTGAGGAGGAGGGGGAGGAGGAGGAGGAGGAGGAGAAGGAGGTGAGGAGGATGAGGAGGAGGAGGAGGAGGAGGAGGAGGAGGGAGAGGGAATGAGTGAGGGAGGAGGAAGAGAACTAAAGGGGGCGGAGACGAATGAGACCGTAGGGAGGAGGTGGGACATTGGAGGTGGGGGTAACCTGCAGCCCAGGTTGGAGAGAGCGAGGAGCGAGGAGCGAGAACAAAGGAGGGAGAAGGAGGTTCACCCTCTCAACTGCACGTGCTGGTTGGGTTTGGAGGGTCCCCAGATTGCTCAGTGAAGCTTTCTGAAGAAGTTTTGCAGTGGATACCGCCTGACCCGAAGTCCGTCCAAAACGGGTCCCCGGACCCCTTCCTGACGCCCAACCCATCAGTGTTCTGGGTAGCGTCTGACCCTGGAGACGAGCAGTGCCTCCGAAGGCAAGAGAGCCTCACATCTAGGAGTTCTGCGCAGACATCGCTGACCTGTGAAAATAAAAGCGTCTGCGCAGAACCGATGCTTTACAGCATCCAGCGCCGTGGGGCCACGGTCGGGAGCGGCCAAGAGGGGGGTGTCCAAGAGAGGGGGGTGCAAATCATGACCGCGGCATGTGCGCGGCCCAGCGGGGGGGCCAGGGACGTAATGAAATAAGAAGAGGCGCCGTAAAATCTGGGGAAATATCATGGTAAGAAGAGGCGCCGTAAAATCTGGGGAAATATCATGGCCCCCGCCATGATATCCCTCCCCCCCCTAGTCATCCCCCCCCCTCTTTGCCGCCCCAGACACGGGCGGGAGCAGTGGGGCCAGGAGCCCCTCCGGAGGCCTCGAGACGTCCTGTGGCAGGCCGTGAGAGGCCCCAGGAGGCCCCGGGAGGACCTGGGAGCTTCCACGATGCCCCAGAGGCTCCAGGAGGCCCCAGGAGCCCCCAGGAGGTCCCAGGAGGCCCCAGGAGGCACCAGGAGGCCCCAGGAGGTCCCAGGAGCCCTGGGATGCCCAAGGACAACCCGAAATTCTGGAACCAAGAATATCTCACGAGTTTCAAAACGTATAATATGTGTAGAACTTGAAGAGTTCGGTTCGCCCTAAGACTTTTGGAACTTATCCTTGGGCCCTGGAGTCCAAGATCTCCAGGATTCCCCGATTTCCCAAACTATTGATTTCCACCAGTTCACGTTAACAAGTCAACGTCAACGTTAACAAGTCAACAAGTTCCGTCCACCAGAAAGCTGTGCTTACAACGTTAACAAGTCGAGACTTTTGAAAATCACAGGGCTCTGGATTCCCAGATCTGCAGCATTCCCCGAAATCCTTAGTAATCCTGGTACGTCTCCCTGGCACCTGTTGGGGCCGCCTGGGGCCTCTCGAGGCATTCTGGGGCCGCCTGTGAACTCCCAGGGCCTCTGCGATTCCACTAAAGGACCCCAGGTCCAGGGAGGAGAAGGGCGATGGAGGAGGGGGAGCGGTGAGGAGGAGGAGGAGGAGGAGGAGGAGGAGGAGGAGGAGGAGGAGAAGATGAAAGAGAGAGGAGAGTCGTTCAAGCCTCGAAGATGGCATCCCCCCTGGTCGACTTTTCCCCTCCCTCCCTCCCTCCCTCCCTCCCTTCCCCCCTTCTCGTCCATCCACGTCTCCTCCCTGTCCCCCCTCTCCCCCTATTCCCCCTCAGGAAAGTCTAGACCCTTCACCATGGCAAGCTTTCATCGAGAGTCGTGTATTGACGGTGCTGGAGTCCAGTGAGGGTCCCCAGACGCCAAAAATGGCCAAAGAACATGCCGTCCTGTCTTTTTTTCGCAAGCGAATGTTGCCTACAACCGACGGCGGCCGATGTTTAGCAGGCGACCTTTGCGTCAAGTGGACAACGTCCGCGGTAACGCCGACAGCGAATCCTGTTCAAAATGGCAATTCGTCGTTTTCCCCATTCTGTCTGGACTCAGTCTTCTATCCTCCAAACGGGAGGTACACGAAGAGGGGATGTATCCGTAACCAGGGCTTCGGGAGTCGACTTTTGGGACCTCGGCAGGCGATGGATATGGATGTACGTACATGTTCATATACGTTATATATATATATATATATATACACGCACACACACACACACACGCATGTATACAATAGACGTGTAGATGTAAGTGCGTGTATGCATGACCTCCCAGGGTACGACTATATCCACATCCACCGCCTGCCGAGGTCCCACAACGTCGATCCCCAGGCGGTGGCTGTGGAGAGACCCCCGCCGCGGTGGGCGGGGGAGGGGCCGTCCTCCGCACGCGGAACTTGGAGATCAGGTCGAAGTGCTCCTGGAGCGGCAGGGGACGGGACCCCGCCGATGCGGCCCTCGGCGCGCCACGCTCGAGGCGAGGCGGCCGAGGGCCCCTCTCCGCTCGCCGCCCCTCGCGGGTCCCACAGCAAGGGGTGGGTGGCAGCAGCCAGCGGCGAGCCCACAGGTGAAGTGAGGAGGTGAAGGAGCGCAGAGACACACACACACAGAAACACGCACATTTTTATATATATATAGATCGATATGTGTATACATATATATATATATATATATAGATGTATATATATATATGCATATCTAATGGAACCATCGCGCGCGCTTCGCGCGCGCTCAGGTTCTAGCAGGCCCCAGGCCTTGACGAATTCACTGCTCCACTGAAGTAGTGGACCACAGTCCACGCATGCCAAGGCCTTCGAGGAAAATGGTTGTGTAGGGGGGCGGAGGCCGTATGAATCGGGTTCCCAGAAGGCCTTCTGGGAGCATGGTTTTGGGGCGTCTTGGGGAGCCTGTTGGGGCGTGTCGTCGTCGTCGTCGTCGTCGTCGTCGTCGTCCTCATGTCGTCGTCGCCTATTGGGGCGCGCCGTCGTCGTCGTCGTCGTCGTCGTCGTCGTCGTCGTCGTCGTCGTCGTCGTCGTCGTCGTCGTCGTCGTTTCGTCGTCGTCGTCGATTTAAGAGGGCACTTGGTGAAACTTTGTGCGAAACGATCTGCGGAGGGCCGCGAGAAGGCGATCAGTCATGTTCCCAATTAACTTCCCAGACAGCTCTCCTGTAGCATGATGGTACTTCGAAGCCTCCGGAGACTCGCGGGCCCATGATGAACCATGTCCCCGGAAGGCTTTCTGGGGACATGGTTCATCATGGCCCCTTGGGAGCCTCCGGGAACTCTCGGGCCCATGATGAACCATGTCCCCGGCAGGCTTTCTGGGGACATGATTTCTTGGGGTGTGTTGGGGGGCCTCTTGGGCGTTCCCTGGGAGCCCCTTGGGGGTCTCTTGGGGCTTCCTGGGGGCCTCTTGGGCGCCTCCCGGGGCTTCGTGGGAGCCTCTTGGTGGCCTCCGGGAGCCTACAGGCGGCCTCTAGGGCCAGAGACCTCGAAGTATCGGTTGGCGGTCCCCCTCTGGGCCGTCTCGCGGGGAGCTCTTGGGGCACAATTGGGTTGTCTGGGGAGCCTCCTGGGCCGTCTTCTTGCCCTCTTCGGGGCCGCGTGGCCCGTCTTGGAGCGATCTGAAGGGCCTCCGAGCGAGGCCGTGAGAAAGCGTTGGGGAGCGGGGAAAACGAGAACGACTAAATCCTTCAAAAACCATCGGACAATTAATGAATCTTGCCTCCCAGGGCCCTCTTGGGGAGCCTCTTAAGTCCGTCCTGGAGCGTGTTGGAGTCCTCGTCGGCCGTTTTGAGGGCAGCTTGGGCGTCTTCGGGACACACTTGGGTTGTCTGGGGAGCATCCTGGGCCGTCTTGGGGCCCTCGTCGGGGCCTAGTGGGCCTTCTTGGAGAGATCTGAAAGGCCTCCGAGGCCGTGAGGGAGTGCTGGAAAGCGGGAAAAGCGAGAACGCCAAAATCCAAAACACTCGGAGAATGAGTGAATCTTGCCTTCCGGGGCCCTCTTGGGGAGCCTCTTGAGTCCGTTGGGCCGTCTTGGGGGGTTCCGTCAGCCCCACAGGACGACCCTTTTGGGCCGTTTTGGGCCTGGGCCGTCTGAGGCCCTCTTGGGTCTCTCTTGGGTTGTCTTGGGGCTCCACGTGGGCGTCTGGGGCACTGCGAAGACGAAGCAAAAAAGCATGCTGAAAATGTACGTTTTACTGCGGGAACGGGCTGATGTTTGCCTCTTGAAGGCCCTCTTGGGGCCCTCTTCGGCCATCTTGAAGCCATCTCGGGCCCTCCTCGGCCTTGCTGTCCAAGAGAGCCCCAAAACGGCACAACAGGGGTCAAAGATGGCCCTAAGAGTGCCCCATGGCGGCCCAAGACGGCCCCAAGACACCCCCCGAAGCATTCCAAATCGTGACCCGGTCGTTCATGGAGACCACGGTTGGAGGCAGGGTGGCCCGAGGAAGCCCCCAGAACCTCCAGAACACGCCCAGGAGGCCTCCCAAAGAGAAAGCCTGAAACTTTTGTGAGGCCCCCAGAGGCTCTCCAAGGAGGAGCCTCCACAAAAAGAGCTGAGGAGGATGGGGAACATGCGCAGGGTTTGGCGAGAACGAGGAAAAAGAAGCATGGAGGAAGGATAACGATCAATATCCTTTTAGCGGTGATGCTGGAAACAGCAACAAGGAGTCATCGCAAAATTGTCGGTTTGACCTTCCTGCCATTCTGCCTGCATACCAAACTTCAAGGACCAAGGTGCATGGCGCGAAGCGCCACTGTAATCTTGTGTATATATATACATATATATGTATATATGTATAAGGGGTCCTGGCCGAGACGACCCCCGCAACACGAAGAACCTTTCAAACCGTCTTGAAGCGAGAAAGGGGACCGGATACCCACCAACACAACTCTCTGCATTTCCTTGGAGGTGGGGCGAATACGCAAGTTCCATTCCAAATGTATATGTAGGTATATATATACGTATGTATGTATGCATGCATGCACGTATGTATGTATGTGTGTATGTGTGTATGTATGTATGTATGTATGTATGTATGTATGTATTTATGTATGGATGTGTATGGTTGTATGAATGTGTGCAGGTATGTATGTATGTATGCATGCATGCATGCATGTATGTATATATGTATGTGTGTATGTGTGTATGTATGTATGTATGTATGTGTGTGTATATGTGTATGCATGTATGTATGTATGTATGGATGCATGCATGCATGCATGCATGGATGTATGCATGTATGTATGTATGTATGTATGTATGCATGCATGCATGCATGCATGCATGTATGTATGTATGTATGTATGTGTGTATGTGTATGTATGTGTATGTATGTATGTGTGTATGGATGTGTATGCATTCATAGTTATACGTATATATATATCGATACATGCATATACATACATACATATATATATATATACATATACAGAGAAGAACCTATGCGTGTGCATCACGACTGTAAACTGAAGCGATTTGCGCGGCTGCGCCATTTGCATACTTGTGCGCGCAAAGATAGCAGAGCTTGTGAGCATCAAAACGTTGCGGCGACGAGCTGTGCAGAGGGCCTCGGCGGCGAGCGGCGGGCGGCTGCCAATGGGGCAGCGCGCAGGGCGCTCGTTTCCTCTCGCCTGCCAGCACGCATGACCAGCGCCCCTGCGCCTCCTAGTGCCCCTTCCCTCCTCTTGCCCATCCTCCTCCTCTCCCCCCTCCTGCTCCCCCTTTTCCCCTCCGCCCTGCTCCTGTTCCTCCACCTGCTCCTCCCTCCCCCCGCCATCCTGCTCTTCCTCCTCCTCCTCCTCCTCCTCGTCCTTCTCCTCCTCCTCGTCCATCCTCCTCCTCCTCCTCCTCCTCCTCCTCCTCTTCCACCCTCCTCCTTGAGCAATAATCCCTCCCTGCCGCACCCCGAGACGTGCCGGTACGGCGGGCGGGGCGTTTTGACCGAGACGTCCTCGCTATGTATTATCCTGAGGCTTGACATTTGCGACCGTTACAAGCGCCTTAGCGCCGCACACATTCGGGCAACCGTGTGCAATGGTTTCGAGGATTCGTATGGTTTCTGTCCCAGAGATGGTGTTCTGGCACGACTTGGGATCAGGGCGCAACAGTCAATTTTTTCGCGGCGCTGAAACATCAGGAACAGCTTTCTTGCACGATTTAGGATTGTCAGGACTCAACAGCTACATCGCCACATTGACTAGCGGCGTTGACGTCGAAGGAGTTGAGCTGTGGCACGATTGAAACTTCTCAGATGGTTGTCTTCCAATGGGGCACTTCCAGCAATGAGAGAACATTCGCCGGCCCATTGGGGTCCGCAGACGAAAAATACCACGGCAAGGTCCCGGCAAAGTCTCGGAACGGTCGGGTCAGAGATGCCGGAACTCCTGGGCGCGGCCTCGGGTGGCCCTAAGACGGCCCAAGAGGCCTCCAAGACGGCCCCAGGATGGCCCCAAGAAGGGCCCAGAGGGAGAACCCGAGCAGACATTTCGAACTCTTGGCCCCAGGATGCGCTCAGGAAGCCCCCAGAGGCCCCCCAAAGCCCCCCAAGAGGACCCAAGAGGCCTCCGAGAGGCCCCAACTGAGGTCCCCAAGAACCCCAACAGGCCCCCAGGAAGCCCCAAGAGGCCCACGAGACCTCCAAGAGGCTCCTCAGAGGCCACAAAACTGCTCCCCAGAGCTCCCCAGACGCTCCCGAGAGCCCTCCGAAGAGACCCCGAGACGCATCCATGAGGACTCTGATCCACAATCCAGGTACGTTTCGAAACTCAGCTGGGGCTCTCTTGAGCCATCTTGGCGCCCTCTGGGGCAGTCTATCGGCTCTCTTCGACGGGGTGCGAGCCACATCTCCAACGATCTCCTCCAGGACAGTCCTGCCTGCCCCACAGTTCCCACTGGGTACGAGCACACCACCATGCAGCCACCGTCGTGCGAAATGGCCTGGCCGAGTGAGCGAAGAAATTCAAGTATTGGAAAGACACATGAAGAACACAATTGGAGGGAATTGTTATTGCAACATCGTTGATGCGTATTGGGTTTACGCAGGCTATCCTTTTCCTTATCCTCATCTTACTCCTCATCTTCCTTCCTAATCCGCATCCTCCTCGCCTTCCTCGTCATCATCATGACTCTCTCCCTCTCTCTCCACCTCTCCGCCCGCCTCTTACACATCCTCCTCCACCTTATCGTCTCCTCCTCCTCCTCAATATCATCATAAGCATCAGCATCAGCATCAGCATCGGCAGCAACATCAGCATCAGCATCAGCATCAGCATCAGCATCAGCATCATCATCATTATCATTCAAAGCAGCATCAACATCGGCATCAACCTGAACATAATGAGCATCAACATCAGCATCAGCATCAGCAACATTCAGCAACAACATCAGCATCAGCATCAGCATCAGCATCCGCATCCAAACCCTCATCCTCAGCATCAACATCATCATCATCATCATCATCATCATCATCATCATCATCATCATCATCATCATCAACAACAACAACATCAACAACAGCATCATCATCATCCGCTTCCTCCTCCTCCCCGTCCTCCTACTCATACATCTCCCCCCCATCCTCCTCCTCTTCGTCCTCCTCCTCCTCCTTCTCCTCCTCCTCCTCGGCTTCCGCACAACAAACCAAGCAGATCCCGACAGCAGCCAGGTACAGTCCTCGAAGGCGCGAACAACGAAGCTCCAGGCAAAGACCATTGCACAAGCAGCACAATCGACGACGCGGACAGCAACCGCCAGAACGCGACGCACATGGTACACCTGTCCAGCATAGTGAGGGCGACACAGACAGCACCAACGCAGATCGAATGGAACCCTGGGTCGAATACAATCAACGCGCCACACGACGCGCATAATACCCCATGAGGCTCCATCACATCGACAGCTGGGTGACGCTGCACATGCGGGAGACATGGCGAATGGCCTCAAGAGTCGCAAACCACGACACCAAAATGGGGGGTATGGCGAATGCTGCCTTTTCAACGAGACCTCAATCCACGCCGGCGTTGACAGAGACACCACGGTGGCCAACACAACCGCTGGAGGAACGGAATCGACACCTACTTACGTCAACGCAGACCAGACCTCCAACGACCGCTCACAACAACCCGTCCGAAAGGACAACCGAACGACATCACATGGTTGCGCAGAGCCTAAGACACCGCCATCTGGAAAACGCCCACGCGAGCAAGCATCCATGACCAATAGCGAGAAGTCAGGACGACACGCGCTTACACCGACACCAACGACTTCCTGCGCCTCGACCCTCCTCCTACCACATTACCTGCTGGCCTGCCTCGCACTGCATGAGTCCAGACACGCCAGAATCCAGAGGCTACGGCATCACCCACCTGGTCTGAGCTAGCCCCAGACGCTTGTCCGCAGCGGTGGTCGTTCGTTCGCTCGTTCGTTCGTTCGCTCCTCCTCCTCCTCCTCCTCCTCCTCCTCCTCCGCCTCCGCCTCTTCCCCCTCCTCCTCCTCCTCCTCCTCCTCCTCCTCCTCCTCCTCCTCCTCCTCCTCCTCCCTCTAACGCTCCATCATGTCGGTGGCCAGGATCAGCTCGATGATCAGCGAGCGAGCCAAGGCCTGCGCAGGGGCACGGGAAGTGCGGCGACCGCCAAGCCCCCCCCCCCCCCCTCGACAGAGCGGGGGTGGGGCGGGCAAACGGGAAAGGAGGGGCGGAGGGGAGGAGGAAGAGAGGAGCAGGAGGAGGGGCGGCAAGGAGGGAGGAAGGAAACGGAGAGGCGCGAGTAGGGAACATGGATAAGGAGTGGATAAGGGGATCCAGGAGGACGAAGGGGGAGGGAGGCAAGCTAGGTGCGCTAGCGTCACATCTGACGTCCTACTCCTCCCTCCCATCCCTTACCATGGGGCGTAGATCTCCTATGAACCCGCACAGTCGGATTTCGAGCACGGTAATGATCCCAAGAACGTACGCGATGGATGGAAGAGCATGGCGTAGAAGAGCACGCCAGAGCATAGCATGTCATAGTATGGCGTGGCTATGCGTAGTGAAGCATTGCATCACAAAACATAGCGACGCAACGCATGGCATCGAACAACAGAGCACAACACAACATCGCATTGCATGATGTGGCATAACATTGGATGACTTGGCATTGCACTGAATGACGAGGACTCGGCATTCCGGACAGGGCCTGTCCGGAATGCCGAATCCATGTCCTCCGCAACCTTGACTGCCCCATGTGGGCGCTTTGGAATGCCAAGCGCCATCCGAAGGCGCGGAAATGAGGGCGCTGCGCGGAACGAGGCCAGCGCTGCGGCGGGAGCACGATGTTGAATGACCGAAGCGCGGAAATGAGGGCGGCGCTGCAGCGGGAGCTCAATTTTCGAAGAACCAGAAACGACAATATTGGGAAAACACATCGGAAACAAAACAAATAATAACATACTGCGACAAAAGCAAGACGCGGTTAGCACGCGACACGCTCCAGGCAGACTCTGGGGAGAGAAGAGAGTAGAATTCAGATGGTGTAATTGTGGAAGGAACGCATGGGGGCGACGCTTGCTCGAGATTTGCTTGCCGGGGGGGCACGCTGCTGAATCACACTTGCGGGGATTCGTCAATTGTCGCTGCGCGGGTGAGAACCGGCTGCGTGACACGCTACGCAAGCGCTCCTGACCGTGAGTATGTCTCAGGCGGGTTTCGCTTTGAGAAAGTATGAGGGGAAACGTTAGGGGGTGGGGGGCGGCGCAGGGGGGGGCATCGATCTGGAATCGGCGACACATCGCCGATAAATCAGCGGCAGCGGCAGGCCCCCGAGGCCGAATTCGTATGTTTCTGGGTGGGGCGGGCTATTTGGTTATACTGGTGATGAACGGACGATTGGGGGTCGATGCTTCCCTCCATGAGCAAGTCGAACCCAGGTTGCTGCTACTGACGTACCGTACATCAGTGGCAGCAACCTGCGATATGCGACTACGATATGCGTACTACGCATATCGTAGTCGCATATCGCAGGCACGATCCTCGCTCTGAGAAAACGCCGCTCTGCACCCCGACGAGTGCTCTAAAGCCAGGCAGGAGGCCTGGAACTCAGCACGAGGGACCGTCTGCCTTCTGCCCGAGCGGATCTGGGCGACTCCGCACTGGGTGGCCCACAGGGGAGGCGACCCCGGCGCGCTCTCTGCGTGCGGCGCCAGGCGGCCCACGAAGAGCGGGACCGGGCGCCTCGCTGGCGCCAGCCAGCCCGGAGGCCTGCTCAAGAGCGCGCGACCGCCGAGACCTCGGCAGGGCGGCGCGCCTAGTGGGCGCGGCGTCACCCGCAAGGGCGCGGAGAGGGCCGCGCGTCGCGGTCTGGGCAATGAGAAAGGCGCGGAAGCAAGACGAAGCCAGGGCGAGGATAAACTCGGGCGAAGATCATGTCGGAAATCTCTGAAGTCCGGCGGCCCTGCTGGAGGACGTCTCGGGCGCCGCGGTTTTCTCAGAGCGTTCCGGAGCGCTCTGAGGGCGTTCTGGACAGCTCTGGAATGGAATTGTCCTCGTCCCAACACCGTCCGACCCGCCTCCATCCATGCGTGCGTAGCTGCTGGGAAGGTGAAAGATGAACGTACGCGGCGCGGCTGGGGCCAGACCTCGCAGGCTGGCCGCCTGCTATCCGCGCAAACTGCTGGATGCGTCACCCTTCGGGGTAAGATGTGGTGACAGATGGTCCGGATGTTCACACAAAAAACAGCCATTCAGAGAACAGTCCCCTATGATGGTGCGAACCCCAGGTTTTGATCAGCGGGCCTGTATCCCTCCCACTTCGGACACGTCCCAAGGTAACGTCATATCCAATCATATCCTCCTCCTCCTCCTCCTCCAACTTCCGCCCACCGCCTCCTCGTCATCCACCTTTTCAAATTATCTCTCCTCTTCCTCCGCCTCCTCCACCTCCCCCCTCCGCCTTCTCCTCTCCTCCGCCTCCTCATCATCACCATCATCATCATCATAATCAGCATCATCATGATCCCCATCGCCATCAGCAGCAGGAACATCATCATTATCATCATCATCACCATCACCATCATCAGCATCATCATCATCATCATCACCACCATCATTATCGTCATCATCAGCATCATCATCATCATCGACATCAGCATCAGCATCACCAGCATCACCACAATCATCATCATGGCATCCTTTTTGTCGAAAGTCGCGCGCCAGAGCATTATGTGTGTGCGTTGGCGCATGCATCAGGCCACCCCCAGTTGGCAGCTCTCTCATGGCCACGGCACGCTGATCAAGCACACAAGCGGCCACGCCTGCGAGCACGCGGAGGTCCCGGGAGGCCGCACCAGCGAGCAAACACTTGGCCACGTAAAGGCCGAACCAGCCGAACCAACGCGGGGGCCCACAGGGAGCCGCACCAACGCGGGAATCACCGAACGCCTTCCCGCCAACGGCATGGGGAGAACCTAGTCCTGAGCCCGACCTCGGGCCAACGCGGCCCAAAACGCCAGGTTTCAGAAACCATCGCATCCACACTCCCTGCGGGAGAAACCTGAAGAATGTTTTAACGGGGCGGGCGACGGTCACGCCCTCGTCCCAAGGCCGAGACGGCAGGAAACGGCTGGGAGACACCAGGAAACGGCCGGGGCCAGACAGCTACAATTAAAAATATTCGCGTTCCCTCTGACATTCCCTGCCATGTTCCCGCGCAGTTAAAGCATCAGAGAGCGCATTCCTCCTGGCGTCCTTTCTGTCGAGAGTCGCGCGCCAGCGCATTATGCGTGCGTTGGCGCAAGTATCAGGCATCCCCCAGTGGCGGCTCACTGATGGCCACGACACGCTGATCAGGCAACAATAGGGCCAAACCTGCGAGCACGCGGGGGCCCCGAGAAGTCGCGCCAGCAAGTGGGCAGCACTGGCCACGCAAGGGCCGAATCAGTCGCACCACGCGGGGCCCCACAAGGGGCCGCGCCAACGTGGGGGCCACCGAGTGCCTTCCCACCGACGGCAGAGTGGGGACCCACTCCTGAAACCGACCATGAACCAACGCGTCCCCAAAGGACCAGGTCTCAGAGACGATCACCTCCACGCTCCACCTTTCCCTTAACTCAGGCTAACCAGCCGCGCGCGGTAACCTGGAGACACTTGCACCTGGGCGCGTGCCAGGCCACCAAGGCCCACCTTGCACTTGCAATTGCCCATCGGGCAGCGAGAGGTGGATAGAGAGAGAGAGAGAGAGAGAGGAGGAGGAGGAGGAGGAGGAGGAGGAGGAGGAGGAGGAGGAAACAAAAACAACTCCGCCCGATCCCCAGGACGGCGAACCAGCCGCTTCGACCACTACACTCTTGAGTTCCTGGGTTGCCTCCAGTTCCTCAGGCGTAAAGGTGGCTTCCTGGAGCTTCACAAGGGGAGTCGGTGATATAGATTCGGGCTGCCTTGATGCAAGACACAACGCCCTCTCCGGGCGGCCCCGTTGATGCCCCCCTTCGTCCGATAGTGGAGTGTTTTTTCCACCTTTTTCATAAGCTACGCGGCGTGAGCCCGTGCGCTCACAACCTGAACACCGATGGGGGCTTCGGCACAGCCTGCGGAACTCAGGGGGCGTCTGGGCAACAAAAGGGCTCCCTGGCAGGAGCTGGAGGGCTGGGGGGGGGGGGGGGCGACTTACCAGGGCCGCGCCATAGACGCTCAGAACCTCATTCTGGTTCAACCTTTGACCAGACATAGTGAGTCACGAGACGAAGATTGATGAGAACACTTGTTCCTACAATGGTGATCGCAACGACGCGCCTCCGAATCGCCGAGACCTCGCCCGCGCGCGGCGCGCAGCGAAACTCGACGGCGACGGCGAGAGCAGGACGCGGATGCCCCGGGTCGCACAGTGCACCTGCGACCGCCAGCGCCACCGCCTGAGCCCGCTCCCGCAATTCAAGCTTGCCCCAGGCGGCCTCCAGGCGCCAAGCTGGCGGGAGATGGCGCCTGGCGCCGGGAATGAAATGCTGAGCTGCTGCGAGGGCGCGGGCCATTCAGCCCTTCAGCTTGCCTTCTTCCCAGAAGTGATCCATGCATTCTGCGCGTCGCGGGCCCAGCTGATCCACGTTCGCGACGTTCGACCGAGACGTTCGGCCACGCGCCAATTCGAAGAATTCTGCGGCAAATTCAAGGCATTGCGACATCGCGCGCTTGGTTAGAATATTGCCGCTAAGCCTGCCCATTGCCGCTCGCGTAGCCTTCCCAGCCCCTCTCGCGCCCTCGGCGCCGCTTGGCCTCAACCTCCCAGCACCCATGGCCCTCTGCTCGGCGCGTCGGCGAGGTTGTCCGCCGCGCGCGCAGATGTAGAAGGGGGCGCAAAAGGTCGCAATGCAGAGAGCATCGAAGCAACACAGCACGACATTCAGGCGGCGAGACGACGAACGGCCCTTCGCAGCGACCGCCAGAATCACTTGCGAGTCCACGAAAAGGTATACCCTCGTGCCGAGGGCTCGGAAGTGGCGCACGCACCATGCGCCCCATCTGCAGCCCGAGCTCGTCGACGCGACGCGAGCGATGGAAACGCATGGCCACTGCGCGCTTCCAGTGCCAGCGGCGTTGGTCGATGCTGACCCGCGGCCAGGCGTTGCGCCGATTG